CCAGTGCATCCTTTGGCAAAAGGCTTGGAGTAGGAGAGAAGTGAGCGGTATAAAGTTCTAGCCCTGAAACCAGATGCTGTCACCATAGAGACAAGTGCTAGGAGGCAGAACAGGAGAGGGACGAGGGAGGAGGAGGGCAAGTGAGGCGACTGAGGACTAGCACAGTCCAAGACCTTCAACCTTTCGAGTGCAGTGACAGCAGCCTTGCGTTCCTGAAGCCCGTGTGCTGGCGGCCAGCCACTTGCTGAGTGGCAGCTGCTGGCACTGCGCAGACTGGCTGGTGAGCACGTTGGCATTGGCGCGGGCTCTGGGGTGGGGACTCGGAGGGCTGCAGCGGCCATGGGCACTCAAAGCCCAGCCCACAAATGTTTCTCATGCCAGGCTTAAGTCACCCTTGCAAGCCTACTCCGTGATTAGGACCGGCTGGTGTGAGCCTGTCCGTCTGGCAGCAGTTTTGACCTGTGTTACAATTAAATCATTTTGGTGTCCCAGAACAATGGGGAGGAAGAAAAACCCTTCTGTGGCGGGACTGCTATAGAAGGAGTGTGACTCCTACCCCCAGGCCTTGCTGAAGGAAGGCAGGATTGGCCCCAAGTGGATTTTGCACTGACTGGTATGACCCTTATCCCCGTGATGCTGGTGAGAAGCTTCCAAATCTGTTCTGAACTTTGCCTCATGCTGGTGTTGTGAGCAACTGTGGGAGCCATTTAGAAGCAGGCTTCTTCCCTCCTTTGTTTTCAGCAAATGCAGGAGGTGTGAAAGGACTGTTTTAAGAATGGATTTGCGGGCCTTGATAGAGACCAGATGAGTTCATTTTTTCCTACTGATTGCTAGAGAAAAAGCAGGTTGGGTCAGGTGGTCATTTTATTTTTATTTTTTATTTTTTTGGTTTTTCTCTGGTACCGGGAACCGAACTCACGACCTTGTGCTTGCCAGGCAGGCGCTTTGCCACTGAGCTAAATCCCCAGCCACAGGGTGATCATTTTAAAAGATAGATCTGTCTTGCTACTAATAGCTAGCTCTTGCTGGGAGGATTGGGGGTGAAGGGACCCAAACGCAAATAAATGACATTTGTGATGTAAAGATGGAGAATTTCTGCAGTCTGTGTAGAATCCCAGGTACCTCAGAGTGTCCTTGCTCTCCAGAGGGGTGGGTGCTGCTGTAGGGAGCAGATTTCCTATTTCCAGTCTGTCTCCCTCACCTCTTTTCCCTTCCTGTAGAAGAGAAGCAGCTTTCAGGCACTTAGCATCAAAAGAAGCACATTTCTGTTACTTGTGTGCAGTGTGGGAGGGATGTAAGCTGTCAGGGACCACGAGTGCACCGTTAGTGGTGTCACTCTCTGGCTGGCAGGAGCAAAGTGACAGCGGATCAGGGGCTGAGGAGGGCTCACGTGGTAAGGTTTCTACCTTCCAGCCAGTTGTTAAAGGTTTTTCTTCTTTTACTTCCTTTTTGGTTGTTGTGTACCGATTTGAAAAGGGATACTGAAGACATTAAGGCTAAATGTTTTACCTAGGAAATATGTAAAAGGGTGACAAAAGGCTTTAGGACCAGCTTGATTAATAGTGGGGTACAGAATAATATTCTTTATGAAATTGTGCTGGGTTCAGTATGCCAGCCAAACCAGGAAGGTTGTTCTGAGAAGAAATGTGAGCTAACCTGCTCTGCGTTCCAAAGGGGAGGCGATACAGTTAATGTGTGTACAGCAGTACAGGGCTCCAGCGTTTTGGTGGTTTATGAGGTCTTTTAAGAAAATTTCTCCACTAAGCTGTCATCCGTTATCCATGTCTGCAGGGTAGCTGGTGGGTTCATACACTTGGACCGTCTCTCCTCGATTTCTGGGGAAACTCTGGGAGAAAACAGGTGCAGTTGTGCCAGGGCCCTCCGCTGTGTCCTCTGTCACTATATCTGTGGTGTTTGAACGTACTTGGGCAAGTAGGTGCTCCGTAAATTCTGAGTGAATGAATGGAGGAGGGCGGGAAAGAGATGGGGAAACTGCACAATCCTCTCTTGATGTCTCCCAGTGATATGGGGCTTAATATGGTTCAAATGCTTTGGTCTTGGTCACCAGTGTCCTCCGTATCGCCAAATCCAAGTTTTACTTCTCTGTGTTCATCTGTCTCAACCTCTCAGTAACAGTACACTCTCCTCTTTTGTGACTTCCTTGACATAACTCTTGCTTCACTTCCCTCTAACATTATTAACATGTCTTTCGGTACTGAGAATTGAACCCAGGGCCATGTATATGATAGGCAAGGACTGAGCTACATCCCTTAACACTTCATTAATGTTTAATTTTTCTACTTGTAAATGTTGGTGTGCTTCAGCAGTTGATCGTGGATCTGCTCCTTCGTGTCTCTATTCCTTTCCTGGATGATCATGAAAAGTAATAGCTTCAGTGCCAGCTTTTTTCATTGGTTTCCCAAATTTGCTTCCCAGTCCTGAGGTCTTGAGCCTTAGACACAGGCAGCTGGTTATACACAGAGCTCTGTGTTTACCTGAGACAGACATCTTAACCTTAGAGACTCCAAAGAAACTGTGATCCCTTCCCAGAACCTCCATCTCCTTGCTGCCCCTTGGGTCCTGCAAAGTTTTCTAGTTTCTTTTGACTCCTAATTATTTATTTTTCACATTGCAGCCAGAGTGATCCTTTAAAGAGGTAAAATAGCTCAAGCCATTCTGCATCTTAGAGCTCTTTGGTGGCTCCCGTGACACCTAAAATTCTGACCCTTATCATGGCTCACCTGGCCCCCATTCCTCCTGCAATCAACTCCAGCAGTTGACCTTGCTTGTCTTGTTTCTGGCACGTGCTAAACTTGTTCGGACCATAGGTCCTTTGCACGTGCTCTTCTCTTGGCTTGGAATGATTTTTTTCCCCAGATTCTTGCATGGCTTGTTCCTTCCTGTCATTTTAAAAAAATCTCTGCTCCAATGTCTCTTCCTCAGAATCTCAGTGTACTCTATGCCAAGTAGCCCCCTGCCTAATTTTACTTTCTGCAAAACTTTTAATGCTATTTGAAATTACCTTGTTCATCTATTTGTTTGCAGTTTTTAGGGAATTTTTTATTGTATTCACGAATGTATTTCCCTCTGTCTGAAGAGTTCCAGGAACACAACAGGCAGTAAATAAATATTTGCTGAACCTAGGGATATGTTGTATCATTTAATCTTCATGGGATCTTGAGGATGACAGAGGTGAGGAAATGATGATTTAAGTCTTTAAGGCACTTTGTGCTCTATTATACTCTGGATGGCCGACTTCACATCTTGCTTTATGTATTTAGTTTGAGTACAGAGAAGAAACAATCCTAGTCTATATCAGGATGAGACATTACATACATGGTCCATGTCCTAAAAGAACAGACCTTGCACGTGTCCAGAGGTTTTGTTCTTAATGGCCTTGTCTACCTGCGGTTGGTCAACGTAAAAAAGAAAGAAAGAAGGAGACATATTTATTAAATAATACAACATCTGCTGGGTCCTGTGCTGAGTACTTTTAGATGTGTGACCAAAATTGAATTAAAATCAGTGCAAGTTTGATATTACAGTGTTGTGTACAGGGGTTGATATTATTAACCTCATTTTATAATGCAAAAACAAAGGTTCAAAAAAGTTAAGTACTTTGCTCCAGATGACAGTGCTAAGTGATAGAATTAGATTTTTTAAACATGGGGCTGACACCAAATTTCTGCCTTTTTATACTCAGCGGGTTGCTTTGCTTTGTGAAATGGATATGCTCCTAAAATAGTACGGAGGAAAGTATGAGTTTAGTGTACATTCACATAGATTATAATAGATATATGAAGCGCAAGAATGAGTTATACACACAATATGGAAAACACGCTTACAGCGTTCAGTGCCCGTGCATATAATTGGATGAATAAAATACAGAATGAACATTTGGTTTTCTGGCAGGGCTCATATACAGTATGACATAGAGCAGCTGTCCCTGGAGAAAGTTCTTTTTTTTCTAGACCGGTACTACACAAGCAGCATTTGAGCAATTCAGGATTTCTCTCTGCTTTCACTATAAATAGAGTTCATGCAGTTCTGTATATAAAAGTTAATGCAATGGGAAGGAGTCACAGAGTATGGAAAGAAACCTTAACTCATTCTATAAACTAGAAACATGTTTGACATCGGGAGGCTATAAAAACACTGTCATTCCTTGGATGGATTTGGAGGTCTTATTTAGCATATGAAATTTCAGAGTAGATCCTATTATGTAAGGAGACAGGAGGACAGCATAATATGATTACAAAATGGAGAACTTTCAGAGACTAGTTAGCAGGGCAGCTATACCTACGGAGAGGCATGGGAGAAGAATGTGGAAAATGAATGAATGAGTGGCATATACGTGCCTATTGCCGAAGCCGGGGTGCAGGATAATCCTCAGATGTCAGGTTTCCGTCTGGCCAACATGTGATCAGAGCTTGCCACTCCACAGAGAATACTGGGCTGTGCTGGTATTAAGAGGCTGGCTGGAGGCTAGGCTCCCACTGTGCACGGGCTCCCTCCCTGCCGCCTTGTGCCTGTGGGTGGGTGTGTATGTGCGTGTGTGAGGGTATACATTTTGTGCAGTGGGTGTTTAAAGAGCTAAGCACTGAGAACTGGATTTCCACAAACGATCATCACGAGCACTCCAGACACACCAAACTTCCTCTCTTGGTATTTTTTTTTGCTTTTTGCTTTCATCCTCTTTTTGCAAACCCCAAAGGGGAGAGCCCCCAGTAGCCAGCCTGCAGGATCGGGATTATTTTCTCTCACCTGTCCATGGGGGTGCCCTCTCAAGGGCAGAACTGAAGCTATGTGGGACCAGCGTATTCTCGAGGACCCGACAAGAGGAGCTGTGTGAAGGAGCAGCAGCCACCCAAGGAAGAGCAACTGCGCGCTGCTAACATGAACAGCACCCTGCAGGTTACCCTGCCCCAGAGCTGGGCTGCTCCAGGCGGCTCGCTCCAGGAGAAGTCTGAGCATTCTTTTTTTCTTTTTTATTACTATAGGATGGAGGATGAAGCTGTCCTGGACAGAGGGGCTTCCTTCCTCAAGCACGTGTGTGATGAAGAAGAAGTAGAAGGTGAGCCTTTTGGGTCGGGAAAGTGATCATTCATATCCCTGTGTCTCTGTAGATAACAGCATTTGTGCATTTTGTGTGTCTTGCATTTTTAAAGTTAAAAACCAAAGCTTGTCTATGGAATTGCTTTAATCCCTACATTTTGCTTCAACACAGAAAGTATTTTAAGAACTTCATTGCACCCTCAGAATCTAAGTCAGTGTGGTCTTAACTGTTTTTTTTTTTTTTTAGTCTTATTTTAAAAGACATGCTTGTTGTAGGTCTGCCTCTGCAACAGAAATAAATATTTTACAAGATACTGTTAACCACTTTCCAATGACTAATTCCAGGAAGCTGCTAGATTTATATAAATGTGCTAGGCAGCACCTTCTAATATTCTTTTTTGTAGCTTGCAGGGGAGAGAAATAGATGTTGCAGAAGGGGATGACACTACTGCTGTGGGAAATGGGTTAAGCTGAGGACGTGAAGAGTGGTAGTCACAGATGGGTCTTAGTGAAGAAAGGATGGACAAGTATTTTTGACTTAAAAAACCCCTCTGGGGCTGCTTTCAGTATGCTCCCAGGACCTGCTAGAGACCAAGAGAGAGATCTGTGTCAGTGTACCATCGGTGTGCAAACCCCAAAGGGGAGAGCCCCCAGTAGCCAGCCTGCAGGATCGGGATTATTTTCTCTCACCTGTCCATGGGGGTGCCCTCTCAAGGGCAGAACTGAAGCTATGTGGGACCAGTGTATTCTCGAGGACCCGACAAGAGGAGCTGTGTTTCCACTTAGCAGTAATGTGGGAGCACCGCTACTTCTGTGATAGGGAGAAGGCAGGGTTTCATTAACATTTATGGAAGTAATTGTGTGAGAGCATCACAGGTATACAAGTTACTACGATAGTTATGAGATTTTCATAAAATAACAAGGGGCATAGGTAGACAGTATTCAAAACTAAGTGGAGCTTGCCATTGGACCATATGATCAGTCTTAAGCATTAAAGGAACCCAAGGAACAATTCACATGGGGAAGATCACTGGGCTTGGGTGTTCTGGAGCGATTCTTTGAGCAGGCAGAACATGGGGCTGGGGGCGGATGATTCTCTTGCACCACCCTGCACAGCCTGAGTGGCGTGGCTGTGCTGTGGTTTCTTTTTCTCGTGCCTGTACAGTGTGCAGGACTGGCATGCTACCCCCACTTCCCACATTTATGCTCTTGAGACTATTAAAATTTGATGCCCAAGTTTCTTAGGAAAAAGGAAACTACAGTATTTTCTTTCATATTGTTTTATGGGTTCCTTGACTTTTTGCAACATGACTGTGGGAAAGTATGAAGTTGGCAAAGGCAAAGAAGTAAAAGTTTTGTCTTAAGAGTCTTGTGGTCCTGATGCTGAATCCCCACTGTAGTGACTGTCTCACTGTCTCACTGCCTAACAGGAGGTAAAATCATTATTGCTGTAGCACTGAGGTGTGAAAAATGATACAGGTGTCAGTAAATATCCTGTAGTTTTAGGACAATGAAAGTGGAGATATCTTGGGAGGGAGATATCCTGTGTGTTTTCCTTAGAGAGTGACGTCCTAGCTGAGTTTACAGGAGAGGGACACCTTGAGTTCCTAGGTCTGTAAGATGAACAGCATGGTACAGTTTCTTTAAAGCTTTGCCTCAAAAGTATATTTCCTCAGTTATTCCCCTTGACTTGCAAGCACAAAATTATAAATTCAATGTAAATGGACAATATAAACAGCATACAAATCTATAGCCAGGTTTCTTTGGAGAGAAATAAAAAGACAACCAAAGATAGTACAAGTGCTTAAATGTGATGGCTTTTTGACAATTAGACCTGCCACATGGATTTTGTATATTTTCCCATGCTTCTAGGGCCCTTTAAAGTTACTGTCTTTCATGTTGATTAGTACCTGAGCTGATTACATTTCTGTCAAGGCATGCTTAGTTGCCTTTTGCTGAATCCTGAGGCCATAGCAGATGATGGTGGCTTAGAGTCATTGTTCAGTGCAGAACTTCCAGTTGTGGAGGCCTCCCACAGTGCACGTCTTGGAACCTCAGTTGGGAATTCTGTTTCTAATTCAGTGCCCTTCCAGTCAGCCCTCCTGATCTTCCCCAGCTTCACTGATGGGAACGAGGACTTACATTTTAGGTGGCCCCAGGGTGAGTGTGAAGTTGAAGTGGATCTAGGCTTATGGCACATCCACCATTCCAGCAGTTCAAAAGGACTTGGTTGTCAAGACTTCTGATGAAGATTCATGCTTTAAGTGGGAATGCTTTTCTCTAAATTATGAGCCTATCTTGTATTGTTAATTGTATGAAGAAGGGGGTCTTTGAAGGCAAACAAAATGTGATCTCTAGTCTGAGGAGTGGAATTTCTTGTACATTTATGGCAGGAGGGAATGTTCCAGTTTAAGGCTCAGATATTTAAAGAATAAGGAGCTAGAACACCTTACATGTATGCTGTCAGTCATGTTTCCTTTATCCGAGCAGTTATTTCTTGTGCTTCTGGAATAAACATAATTAAAATACATCATAGCATCTTGGAAAAAGTGGACTTAAAACTTTCTTTTTTTTTTGGCAGTGATTTGCCCAGATAAGGGTATTCCCGGCAAGTGATTATTAAGGTGACTACGGTCCCGTAGCTCCAGTTACTTTGAAATGTTCATGCTTTAACAGTATACCTCAGGGTCTCCTAATTCCCAGTGAGTAGGCTCAGCTCAGCTTGATGGCCTAAACAGCCAGCTGCTCTTCTCCTAGTTACTTGTACCTCTAGGGTCGGGGACAGGAAAGACTGAGACATCACACATGCCTGTAGTCTTTCCTCTCAGTGGGCAATATGACACTTCTCTACATTCTAAAAACTTGAGAGAAAACCATAAGTTGCCAAATACCCTAAGAATAGAATAAGTCAGAAAAGGAGTCATCTTTTGTTTGGTTAATGAGTTTATCTATGTGGTATAAATTTAAAGACCTAAACCTGTTTTCATATAATTTCCCTCATGTGTTAATCGCTTAGAGATCATTCTCTAAAAAGGGAACTGAGTGGTAGTTTTAATCTTTAAGTAACTTGAAGCTTTTGTGTCTGTTCTTTTCTTCATTACCTTAGGTATGACTTTGTGAAATCAACATTTTGGGCAGGGAACAGTTGCTATCTATCAACTAATTTAAAATTTTCAGCATTTCAGATGTTACTATTTGTTTCTTTTCTGAAAGGCTGAAGTTTCTGCCCAAATGCTTCCACAGATATGGTCCGTAGGTGACAAATTGGCTGTAGACTGACCCAGAAGTGCTGATGGTGGGGAGCAATCATTTGGGCTTCCTTGGTGGGGGTGTGGCGAGGTTTCCTTGGGTGAGCCAAGACTGAGGTAGGAAGCAAGAGTCTCAGGTAGCTTTTCTAAACAGGAGGAAATCCTATGGCTATTTTATGCTAGGAAAAGTCAGCTTGGATTTGGGTCTGTGTGATATAAACAGATTACTTAATAGTCTCATATTTCGCAATAGGGGAAAAGAGCAAACTCCACCTTATCCTTTGAGATAAGCCTTGGCTCTGTGAGGGGAGGTAACTCCCAGCGGCCTTCGCAACTCTGACTTCGTGTGGAGGGGCCTCTTACATCAAGCCACACATGAAGTGCTGTGAGACAGTGTGGGCTGAACTGCGTCTCTGTTTGTAAGGTTTGAGGGGCTCCTTAAAGCTGCTTTGATGCATTGTGCTAGTTCCCCTCTTCCTTTTATGACTGAGTCCCAACAGGAAGTATCTCCTTCTGTCCAAGGGGAGATGCAGCGTTCCAGATGTCCCTGTCTGCCCATGGCACTTCAGAGAGGGATGTTACAAACTCTTGGGATTTTCAAGAGGGATTTTAGATAAATGAAAGTAAAAAAGGAGGACAGAGTAGATACTAAATGTTAGTGCAAAGAAAGAATACATGAATATGTAGTATAAATGAAATAAAGTGTATATAGATTTAGTTTCTATAATTTTCTTACATATTTGTTTAAATTTTTTTAGATATTTGTTTCTTTTAGGACCCATGTTCATAGAAGATAATTTAGTCTTTGTCTTTCCTTGGTATACTTCTGTTTGGTTTCATAGAGATCATTTTCATTTTTATATTGCCAACATATTTGTGTTAATTCTAAAAAGAAACCTATGAAATACCTGTGCCTTATCCTCTGTTGTTGTCTCCTATCCTTTGGAGAGTCTAAAATGGTGAAATGGTGGCCTTTGTCGTTTTGGAAGTGAGATAGGACCTCAAGGACCTCATGGTTTAAAGCAACCATGAAATCCTAATGACTTGAGTCTGGTTTTCTCTGCCCTCCTCGTGTGGATTGGGGGGCACTATTACAGGGGGTATTGTGAGAGCGGGATACTGTTCTAAAGAAAAACTGGGGCCTGGCGGACGTTCTGTGGTCATCACAGTGGTCCAGAATGTCACTGCCGAGGAGGGACCAATGAAAGCCTATCAGATGGGAAGGCAGGGCCTGATCTGGGCTGGGCTATTCTGAGCGCGGGTCATGAGTGTCCGGTTGCATTTGCTGACCTCTCCTCCACTGCTCACTCTAGTTGCCCAGAAGCAGTGTGTGCAGAGGAAACACTTGGGCAGCTCCTGCTGAAGAAAAAGCCTTCTGCACAGAAACAGTGCACACAGACTGGAAACCTTTAAAGCAGCACAGTCCGGCCCTTCAAGGTGCTGACACTGGAGTAGCAGCTTGGTTTTCCCAGAGCAGATGGAGGCCTCATGGACCTTTTCCAGCTCCAGGGTTCTTTCTCCTGCAGCTTCAGCTGAGTGCTTGCCAGAAGCCCTGAAGCTTGAGCACTGCGCCCAGCCCTGCAGCTGCCCAGTATCTCCTGCTGCATCGGTGATGTTAAATATTTTACACATAGGTTTCTGGCCCTTTAAGGAAATCTGATGATGGGTCCCTGGGTTTTTGAGAAGAAGCAGACACCACGCCTTCTCAGAGTTTTGTAGTTGTGGAGAATGCCCTGGTAATGTTCTGTGGGTGAAAGCCTTCATTCATGAA